ACATTGTGGGCAGCCCCTTCAAGGCCAAGGTCACAGGTGAGTGCTGGGTCAAGGGAGGTCTGCCTAGTCCAGCCTGAATGACTTTAGGGGCCACTCACATCTATGTCACTCACTGCTCCCAAAATCATGGCCAGTTACCAGGAAGAGAGGTGGGCCTGGCTTTGAGCAGCTCACACTCTGTGGAGGCATGCATGATCAGTAAAAAGATCTGCCGTGTCCTCTTCATCATGGTTCTCGTTGGCTTTATCTCCTATCTGCCATGGCCTCCCAAGCTCTAGCTTCATGTTCTTCCTTCCTGTCATCTCATATTTCTCACTGCCAAGAGTAAATATTCTTTTTTTTTTTTTGAGTTGGAGTCTCACTCTTGTCACCCAGGCTGGAGTGCAGTGGCACTCTCCACGGCCACCGCAGCCTCGACCTGCTGGGCTTAGGTGATCCTTCCGCCTCAGCCTTCCAAGTAGCTGGAACTACAGACGCATGCCACCATGCCTGGCTAGTTTTTGTGATTTATTGTAGAGACATTTCACCAAGTTGCCCATGCATGGGGGTCTCGAACCCCTAGTCTTGGGCAATCCTCTTGTCTCGGCCTCCCAAAGTGCTGGGATTACAGGCTGAGCCACAGCGCCTGGGCAAGAGTAAATATTCTCTAGGGTAAATACCGAGTGGGCTTCCCTTCTTGGGGTGGTTTGTGGGGTGAATTGGGTATGTGATCCTTTCTAAAGTAAGACCATGCTGGGAGTTAGTTCGAGTTCCCAGACAAAGACGACAAGCACGAGGGACGGAGCCTGTTGGGAGTATGAATCAGAGCCGGCAGCTGGGCCCTGGCTGCATATGGACTGTACTCCCAGAGTACTCTTGGCGAAGGCGGGTGCAGGTCAGGTAGCGAGGGCCCACTGCTGAAGGAAGGGCTGGAAGCCTCTGACCCGGCTCCTGGCCACCTGCTCTGTCTCTCAGGTGCCCGGCTGTCTGGAGGCCACAGTCTTCACGAAACATCCACAGTGCTGGTGGAGACTGTGACCAAGTCATCCTCAAGCCGGGGCTCCAGCTACAGTTCCATCCCCAAGTTCTCCTCGGATGCCAGCAAGGTGGTGACGCGGGGCCCCGGGCTGTCCCAGGCCTTTGTGGGCCAGAAGAACTCCTTCACCGTGGACTGCAGCAAAGCAGGCAGGCTAGGGGAGAGGAGGGCGTCTCCTGGGATGGGCTTGTCTGCAGGGTCGGGCGTGGGGGAGCAGACTGTGGGCCTGGGGGTCCTGACGTGAGCCCTCCCTCTGCCTCCGTCTCCAGGCACCAACATGATGATGGTGGGCGTGCACGGGCCCAAGACCCCCTGCGAGGAGGTGTATGTGAAGCACATGGGGAACCGGGTGTACAACGTCACCTACACCGTCAAGGAGAAAGGGGACTACATCCTCATTGTCAAGTGGGGCGACGAAAGTGTCCCCGGGAGCCCCTTCAAGGTCAACGTGCCCTGAACGCAGGAGTGCCTCCCCAGCCTTGGCCCCCACTTCCGGCCACACACACACACACACACACACACACACACACACACGCCACACCCAGATGCACACGCACAGATTCAGATGCTGCAGACACCTGCCTTGGGGGGGACGTGAAGGCATGGCACCCCCTCACCACGCCCTTGGGGGTTGGAGGGCCTTGTTGGTCTCAGGGCAGTGTCCCTCCCCTGGATTGCGACAGGAGGGCTGACTGGGGCCAGAGGCTGCGACACATGGGGCAGGGAAGTCCTGAATTTTGGGTGGGGCTGAGGCAGTAAGATGACAATGTGTTGGAGTATCTGTGTGTGAGAGTGCACCCTCCAACCACACTGCTGGCCAGCCACCCTCCTGCCCCCGAGGACTGTATCTGGCCCCTGGGGCCGCAACCCTAGAGTGTTAAGGATTTGGGAAAGAAGGCACAGTCGGAGAAGAAGACAGACTCTGAACAAGCAGCAGTGGACTGGCACGTGAATTGGCCTGAGAGATGTGTATTCCGCCCAAGCCAGGCTTCCTGGGGGACTGAATTTTTTTCTCGCTCTCTTTTTTTTTGTTTTTTTGTTTTTTTACGGTTGCACAGCTCTGCCCCACAGGGGGCCTTTTTTACACAGTGCGAGGCCCAGCTTTCTGGGGGGACTTTTGCACATGTCACGTGGCTCAGCTGGGAGCCGCTTAGGTGGAAAACTCCAAATAAAGTGCGGCCTGTCGCAGAGGCGTGGCTGTTCCTTGTGGGTGTGTGTTCTGTGGCTGATTGCCTTCTGGCTTGCTGACACCAAGACAGTCCCTGGGGAGGCAGAGGCCGCCTGGTGGTCCCCTGGAGGACTGACTCAGGCGGAATGGAAGATCCTGGGGCAGAAGCAAGGTCTCGGACGTTGGCAGAATCCTTGAAAGAACCAGGAGCAGGGGCTCAGGGATGTGGGATCCGTCCTCAGCTGGAGGTCGGTGATGAAAAGGGTGTGGACGCTATGTTCTACTAGGCCCACTGGGAGGCCAGTGTCAGTTCAGCCTGACCTCAAGGATGTTTTTCAAATTAAGACCTTAAAACAGTGAGTGCTGACTCTAGAATATTTCCCAGTCAGCAGGCAGGCAGAACCACCTGCAGACCCAGCAACCTTCCCTTCAGGAACCTGGGCTGCTCTGTCCTGACCTGCAGCATTTACCTTGCTTAGGCTGCCTCCTAACTAGTTAGACTCCCTGGCTCTGGCCAGCTCTAATGGGGGCAGTCAAAGCACTGGTGGCCCGCTCTGTTTTAGGGCCTTCTGTGACTCCCTCCTGCTCCAGGCTAAAGTCCCCTCTTTCCTAAGGAGGCCTCCAAGGCCCCCAAGTTCAGAGAGCAGCCTCCCCACCCATGTGAGTGGGCCTCCAGCCCATTCCCCCTCACAGCCTACATCTAAGCGCCTTCACTGTGTCAGGCTCCTGGGCACCTGGGCTGCACTGTAGGCCTCTGCTTGGAAACCCCCTTGCCTCTCCACCCTCATCTTCCTGACCAACAGGAAGCTTTCCTCAACCCCTCCCTGCCCCTCCTGGATCTGTGCCCCCAGCTCCCATGCTGCCTCGGGGCACATCTCTGGCTGCGTTTACCACCCTGACCTGTGACTGCATCCACCGCTCCCCCAGGAGACTGAATGAATAAGTGAATGAACAACTGAATAGCCAGAGCACAGCAAAGAAGCATTTCACTCCATTGATCCTGTGGCTCTAGACCCACCCCCAGGCATTTCAGCAATGCGGGCGGGTCTGAGAAGACCCAGGCACGTGACCCAGCTCCTAATCCCTGGTCTCCACTTAACTCAGCAGCCTGTCTGCCCCCTTGCTCTTCCCACATGCCCCTCTTCACCCTCTGCCCTCCCTCCCCCTTGCCTCCAGATGTGCAGTTTTCCTGATGGGTTTGCCAGGCCTCCTCCTCACCTTTGGCTGCCTCCATGTAAGTGTTGATGTGTTTATAGACTTCCAGCCCACCTATACAGCCAACCACAGTGTGGCACTGGGCGCTGAGCATCTCTGGGCCCTTTCTCAATGAACCCTCATAACAGCCATATGAGGTGGGGCTACTATTATCTGGAGAAATCAAGGCCCCAAGACTTTCAGAGATGAGTCCAAAATCATACCTTGAAGTATCAGGGCTGAGATTCAAACACAGGTGTGCCCCAATCCCAAGCCTATGACACATACAACCAGTAGACCAGACCCACGTGATGCTTCAAACACACCAGACTCACAGATCACGTGCCAGATACCAGGAGGGCCTGCCGAAAGGGAGGAGGAAAGAGGAGCCCTCTCCTCTTGAACCTACTCATCTCACAGTTCACTTTCTTGGGAATGTTACTTCCATCCACCTGCAACACAGGCCAGAAGCCTGGGAGTCACTTGAGTCTCTCTCTCTCTACTCCTCAAACACGTCCAATCCAAAAAACCAGTTTTGTCCGTTCTGGCTCTAAATATCTCCTGACTCCATCTACGTCTTCACATTCTCCATGATCACTACCCAAGTTCTGGCCACTTATCTCTCACCATCATCTCTCACCACAGTGGCCTCCCAGTTTGGTTCCTCCTCCTTCAGTCTTGCCTCTGCACACAACGCAGGCACAGTGATGGCTCTGAAACCTAAGTTTGGAGACATCGCTTGCTTGCTTGAAATCCTTCAGCTTGCAGGCGTGCTGTGGCTCATGCCTGTCATCTTAGCACTTTGGGAGGCCAAGGTGGAAGGAATGCTTGAGCCCAGGAGTTCAGCCTAGGCAACATAGTGAGACCACATCTCTATAAAAATATACATATACATTAAAAATAGATCCTTCAGTGGCTTCAGGATAACTTTGTCCTCAGAGTAACTTCCAGATTCTTTAACTTTTCTCGAAGGCTCGTATGTCCTCCAGTCACTACCCCTTTGCACGTGCTGTTCCTCCGTCTAACACACCCTCTTGTCCTCATTTCTACTTCTTCATCTCACTGGTCCTCAAGGTTGCAGCTTCGATGCGCTGCAACCTTCTTCGGAAAACGTTTCTTGAGTGCCCTCTCTCCCCATGGATTAGTTACCAGGGATGTGCGCTTCCATGTACTTCTTACATGTTAACAGCAAACACACGGCATTGAAATCGTCTGTTCCCTTGACTGTCCACCTCACTAGACCGTATCATCATTCACTTGCTTATTCCTTTATTAATTGAGCAAAGACGGATTAATTGTTAGGTATGTGTCAGATACACGATACAGACTCGAACCCTGCCTTTGAGAACAGAACTCGGACCCCGATCCTGGGGGTCTCGGCGTCTAAAAGCGCTAAGTTCAAATAGGTTATTGAACGCACGCACCAATAAAATGGAATGAATGAATGCCGGCACGAGAGCGCGGTGCCGCGCTGCCTTCCGGGAATCGTAGTTCCCCAGGTCGGGGCTCTCTTTACTGCGCAGGCGTATTCCGATTGAAGTGGTGCGGCGGCTAACACGCATGTCCCGGGAGGCGGGAGGGGGAGCCGCGCGTGTCT